TTCAAATAAGTACAATAAATAAAGTGACAACGTGAGAACATTACTATTATATTATTATTCTATTATGATTTTGTATATACAATTTTATGTAATTATTCATCAATAAATATAAACAACCAAACATTAATATTATCATTAAAATTTACTAAATTACTACACATATATGAATTTTATAGTAGATTAATAACATAAAAATGAATATATGAAAACTTATATGTTAATATTCACATTATAATTACTCGTATACTACACATATTAAATTCATAATTGAATAATAACATATAAGTAGTAGTGTTCTTAAGTTCTCAATTTATTTATTGTTCTCATTTGAACTTAACATTATATATATATATATATATATATATATATATATATATATATATATGCTATCGAAAGCGNNNATCGAAAGCGGCTTCCAACATGTCATGGCGAATTTAAATGGTCATAAATATTGTTTGAAGGAAATTTAACTGAATCTATTAATATTACAAACATTATGATCGACTACTTTAATAAAAATGAAAATTGACTTATGAGGGTAGTTACATTTCCGTTTTGTAAATATTTGGATAATATTTTTTGTACACATGTAGGTAACGACCTTGTTAAAAATGTTTACATATGATCATTATGACCGTATGTAACCTGCTACAGTCAGTCATAATGGTCATATGTGATCACCTCTAAAAAGTTCGTTACTTAGATTTATACAAATAAATAAATAAATAAGTAGTTGTCCAGATGTGATCAAACCAAAAAATTAATTACCTTAATAAGTCAATTTCCTATAACAATTGAAATCTAACTTTAAAAAATAAATAAATAAATAAATAAATAAAAAATACTCTTCCCACAAACTTGGCCCATGGCGTTAAAAAAGAAGATAAAAAATCTAAGTGATCCCTTCAAAAAACTAGTTATGTGCGTTGAACATTGAATTGTAGTCGTATTTTGGTCATGATTAGACTTCTTTTGTGTGATTAAGACGATGCGGTATGGGCCAGAACGAGAAGCAACGGAGCTGAGGTGGAAGAGGGAAACGACGTCACGACGCGGGGAACACCCCCCCCCCCCCCTAACTCGTTAAAGCTCGTTATGGCGAATCTCGTGGGCGTTAAGACGGATTGGAACGTATAAAATTCGAACGTTTCTTCACTCGACCGTTTGCAAACGGTCAAAATTAAATAATAATAAAATTTTACTTTTTACCCTTATAAATACTACTTTTAAACCATTTTTTTAAACCTTTCTCTCTCACTCTCTATATCTTATACACATATTTTCTTTAAAATTTTTAAAAAATGGAGCAAAACCCAAACACCCCCACTCCATCATCAAACCCAAACACAACCTCGTCTCTCGGATTCGCGGGTTATGAAAATTATTTCAACCTTTTATCGTCTCAAGGCTCACCACAAATCTCATACCAAGGCGCTGCTTTCAATCCCGCTTCACCGCCACTGCAATTTCTCAACTCACCTTACCTTCAACAAAATTTATTTGGTCAAAACCAAAATTTACAACAAAATCTTTTCCCTACTTTTACTTCGATGCAACAAACAACCAACCAACCATCGCCTACAACCAATCAATCATCGCCTACAACACAACCATCGGTTCAAGTGGAAGCGGGAGGTAGTAAGAGAGGGAAAGGTAAAGGAAAATCGATAGCGGTTGAAACAGAAAATGCAGACGTTCCACAATGGTGGACACCGGATGAGGAATATGCTTTGACGGTGGCTTGGTGTGCTACTTCAAAAGACGAACTCCGCTGAAATGGAATGAAAAAAGGAGCTTATTGGGGGGCGGTGCTCGACAAGTTTCACGTTATTTTAAAGAAAAATCTGTATCGCAACAATGACATGTTGAGCAGCAAATGGTGTCAAATAACTAAGCGGTGCAGTAAATTCAACGGTATTTACAACCGGCTTGAGACGCAACAGCAAAGCGGAACCAACGACTTCGATTTGTTCAAATCTGCTAAGGAACAATATCGGGTCGAAATGGGACATGTTTTCGACTTTGAAAAATCATGGGAGTTGTTGCGAGCGAATCCAAGGTGGAATAAAACGCCTACATCGTCGGAGGTTCAATCCAAAAGGTCTCGCAATTCGAGCTCGGTCGACGTGTCGGACGCACGGACTCACATCGACCTAAACGCTGACACCGATGAGGTCCTGGATGATATCGAGGAGATATCCCCACCACGACGACCGTCCGGACGCGACAAAGCGAGGCGCGTTGCAAGGCATGCGGTGGAGGTTGAGGCGAAAGCAAAAGAGGCGGCGGAAATGAGAGCGAAATTCGACGAGCACAATTTATTAATAAAAGAAAAAAATGACTTGAAACGTCGTCATTTGGAGTTCCTAAAAAGGCAGACACGGGAGAAGCAGGAGCAAAAAAAGAGAGAACTAATGACACATCAGTTGTCAATTCTTCGGACGAGCGATGATGGTTTGGCGCCTGAGGATCTAGCGGTGCTACAAGCAATGAAGGAACAAATTAGGAAGAAATATTTGGGTTAATTAGGATTGTTGCGTTGTTTTAGAAGTATGTTGAATGGTATTTTAGTTATGATGTTAGGTTTAAAATTATGTTTTTTTAATTGTAATCATAATTTTAGAATTTAAATATTATGTATTTTTTGTTTTTAAAATTTTATGTTTTATAAAAATATATTAATTTTAGTGATTAAAAAAACATAAAAAGGAAAAAAAAAAGACTAGCAACGAAAAAAACGAAAAAAAAAAAAACCAAATTCGAAAAAAAAATCAAAAATAAAACATATTTATTTTCAAAAAAGTTGGTGTTGCATCTTGTTGCTCATTTCCCCACATGGTATTGTAACACCATTTGCTTATGTGACATGTGAGGTGGCACAACTTGATGTTGCATCTTGTTGCCCACACCATTCTTGAATTTAAAACAAATATTTTTGGTAGCAAATTAAAGTTTTAATTATAATAATTTATATTTTTGTAATTATAAAGTATTTGGACTAAATGTCCAATATCCCAAATAATCATTTGCAAAATTATTTTTTGTTATTTATGGATCAAAATGGACTATATTCTTTTAATATTAAAAGTTCAAATAGTCTACTCATATAGAGAATATACTGTATACACGATATTGATGTTCTAAAAAATCAAAACAAATGCAATATATGATCATTGATCGATCCATAAATATTATTACTTAAATATCATTGAGTGTCAAACGATAATATGATGACATAAACATACAAATCAAACTATTTAAAAATTGTACTATAACTTCAATTTGATTAGAAACAATCCACCTCTAATAAATGACTATATGATAATATGACATGATTTTTGATGATAGCTACATGTGTATGTTTTATCTTCCATGTTTCAGATCTTGGAGGTGAATAGGATCTGTTTGCAAATTTGTATTGTAAAAATCTAACTGAAGATGTATATATAGAATCAGTAAAGGATCCAGGAATTATCCAAAGTGGGGTCATCAAAGAATGCTATATGGTCGGGTTTGTCAACGGCTCAACATGGGTCGGGTAAAAAAAGGGTTTCTAATGAACTCTTTCCAAAATTTAGCACTAAAATAAAAATTAAGAAACCTAACAAGATTAAATACTCATGATTATCCCTAACAAAATAACAATTTCAAATTCCAACAAAATAACAAATCTTAATTAAAAAGCAGTTAAAAATATGTATATTTAGAAGGGCTTTTATTTTTTTTCTGATTTGAGTCAAGCAGAAAATATATTTTACTTCGTTTAAAGAAATTTCTCCTTCTATCTAGTATCTATACTTACTATTTGTTTCTTTGATGGCTAACTTGCAAGTTGCCATGCAACTTCCTTCTATTAATTAAAAGTCAAACCTGTTGCCCAGACTATTCTCCCCAAAACTTCGAAACTTCTATATCTTATTATAAAAATACCCTTACACAACATAAATGATAAATCACCTCATCAACTTCGGACCACAAAACTCATTATTATTCCACCTACTTCTTTCTCTGTTTCATCATGTCTTTCAAGGAAGAACCACGATCACCATTGCAACCGCCTACATATGGAAACCTAATCACAATTCTCAGTATAGATGGAGGTGGAGTACGAGGCATCATTCCAAGTGTCATCCTTGAATTTTTGGAAACCGAACTACAGGTATCTTTTATACTTTAGTTACTTGGATTATTCTTTTTATCTTGAAATTAAACGACCAGATATGAAAATTTTGAGGAGCTTGTATAATTATGACAGAAATTAGATGGTGAGAATGCACGACTAGGCAGATTATTTTGATGTGATAGCAGGGACAAGCACCGGTGGTCTTGTGACGGCCTTGTTAACTACTCCCGGTGAAGATAATCGTCCCATTTTTGCAGCTAAGGATGTTAAAGATTTTTATATTCAACATTGTCCTAAAATCTTTCCACATGATAGGTATATATATATATATATATATATATATATATATATATATATATATATATATATATATATATATGTATTATTAGCAACAAAACAAATTAATTTGTGACGCTTCTTGTAGTGATGGGAATTGTCCTAAAATGGTTCCATGATTTTTATCTTGAACATCCCGTGCTTGATTGTTGAAACTCTCTCCTTGCAACATGTTTTCTGTTGTTTTTCATGTAGTGAGATGGAGAATTTCCCTAAGAATTGGTTAGTTATGTCATAAATGTGCATTTTTAATTTACATTGTGTAGCAAGCACCATCGGTTTGCTGCTGCTACAAAAGTGGTCAAAGCTCTATCGGGACCAAAATATGATGGTGAACACTTACATAAAGTTATTCGAGAAACACTAAAAGAAAAACAACTTCATGAAACGTTAACAAACGTTGTGATTCCAACGTTTGACATCAAATATTTGCAGCCTATGATCTTCTCCAGCTACCAGGTATTGAATTGATCTATATATTTGTTGCTCCTAAAACCATCAAGTTATCGGTTTTCAAAACCAGAAATGTTAACATTGGAAGTAGAATACTATTGTTAGATAGATTTTCAAAGATAATAAGAAAACATTGGAAGTAGAATACTATTGTTAGATAGATTTTCAAAGATAATAAGAAAACATTGGAAGTAGAATACAATTGTTAATTAGATAGATTTTCAAAGTATGATATCTTAATAAGAAAAGACTGAAAGTGCAATGCTTTAATAGCTCGATCCGAAAGCATAATGCAATAATACAAAAATAAATGAAACTCTTTTGCTATCTCTTATTCTCTTACATCTAATTAGCCCTTTCAAGATAACCATGTAATATTAATATTCATATTTATTAGATACAAAAGAACCCAAGTCTTGATGCCACGTTATCCGATATATGCATTGGAACATCAGCTGCCCCAACTTATCTTCCTTCACATTCATTCCAAACAAAAAATTCTGAAGGAAAATTTCTTAAAGAATTCAATCTTATCGATGGTGCAATAACAGCCAACAATCCGGTATATATGTCTTATTCACTAATAATTAATTACTCATCTATATATGTGGTTTAAGTTTTAGGCTAATATGTTTCTTTTTTGCAGACTTTGGTTGCCATAAGCGAAGTAACAAATGAAATAACTAGTGGTAGTGCAAACTTTTTCCCAATAAAGCCAACAGAATACGGACGATTTCTAGTATTGTCATTGGGAACAGGGTCACCACAATTTCAAGAAAAGTACGATGCAACAAAGTCATCTAGTTGGGGAATTTTGGGGTGGTTAGCCGGTGGTGGCTCAACTCCATTGGTGGATGTATTTACTCAAGCGAGTGGCGATATGGTTGATTATCATATCTCCACTGTCTTCAAAGCCCTTCATTCACAAGAAAATTATCTTCGTATTCAGGTAACTTTTCCATTCCATTTTATACTAAAAAGATTTCAAGATTTCATATTATAACATATTGAATTAAATGATATCAGGATGACACTTTAAGTGGGGACTTAACTTCCATGGATTTGGCAACACATGAGAACTTAGAGAATCTTGTGAAAGTGGGACAAGAGTTGTTGAAAAAACAAGTGACGAAAGTGAACTTTGGCACGGGCATATCTGAGCCTTACCATCATACCACCAATGAGATGGCTTTAATAAAGTATATTCACGTTTCTCATAAAATTATATTTAGTGTATATTTTAAAACATATATACAAAAAAATTTATATTTATTTTATTGATTTGAATATTTTTATTATGCATATAGGTTTGCGAAAATACTCCACCAGGAGAAGAATGTAAGAGAACTTAGATCACCAAGTACTAATAGAGGAAGAATTACACGAGAAGAGTCGATGAAAGAACAAACTACACTTTCACAAAGAACGCCAGCACTCTCAAATGCAATTCATCACTCTCTTCCAGATTTATATAAGCTCAACCCAAACTAAGATTTTCTTTCTTGTATATGGATAATTTATTAGCTTTATTCTAATTTAATTTTGAAGTTATGTTGTTTGGTTGAAAACTTAATTAATCGACGTAAGTGTATTGTTTCTTCATACTCTCTGTTAACCAAGTATAGATAATAAATTAAGGCAATTTCTTTATACACACCAATCTATCCTACTCCTTCCATAATCACTTTTCTGGTAGTTTGAATTTTATCTTATGTTTTTTTTTGGCAGCTTTTTCTTATTTTAAGGATTTGTATCCGCAAGTATTACATATAAACTATTCAATTCAGATTTATTCATCTTTTTACTGTATATTGCCAATATTTATGTTTTGAAGACTATATTTTATTTCTAAAAACATTAAATTATCAGAATATGAACAAACTACAAGATATACTTATATTGAACACTAAACATCATTAATCCATTTAAACTTCCAATAAACCACATCTTTAAATATTATTAAAGGAGAAACCTTATGACATCATCTTAAATAATCTGGACCCTTGATTGTATTTCAATCTTATTTTTTCCACCATTAGATCAATTTGTTGACATCATCTTCCCCATATGGAATGCATTTAATTCCAATAAATGTTTTGCAATCGTCAAACAATAACTTACATTCGTTGAAATAGAATGTATTTAATTCCAATAAAAGTTTTCCATATTTTAAATCTTGAATTTCCGATTATAAAGATTTTAATATGGTCAATTTTAAAAGCATATAACTAACAAATCATTTCAATCAAGGCATTAATATCAACCATTAATATAAATTCGTTTATATTAGTAAACCATTAATATAAAATATGTTTTTATTAGGAAATCATTAATACCAAAAAATCATATTCAAATTATCACATACATATACGATTCATCCTTAAATCTGCGGCTCACACTTATTTTCAATCGTTTCTTTTCTTCAAACATTCTCCTACAACATTATTCTTATTGCTTATAACTTTCATCATCATTCTCTGCTTCAAACATTCGTTCTTGTGCACTAGAAGGTCAGTACCTTCTTTTGCTTTTTATATTTTTTTCGATTATTTTTTGTTCCCATATCAAATATATGTATTCATATATTTCGATTTTCTTTGTCACAAATTACATGAAATCAGTTAACTATTTTTCTGAAACTTTTCAAATAAATAGGAAAAGATATTACGTACCTTTAACAAAACAGAATTTAACTATCTTGGGAACTGACATTATTTACGAAAATGTTACTTTTATATATTAGAGATGATTATGATTTTTTTTTTATTTTTATGTCATAAGAATCCGGTTAATTTTGGCATGATTTTAAAATATCATTGAAATTATTATGTTTTTGTATATCAAACCAACCTACTTT